AAATTACATCAATTACTTCTCTTATATGAACAATTCTCTCAATAGAAAACTTCATAATTATGAGCACTTTCTTAAAAACAATTGGCTATGACTGTTCAGTAAAAAGAGCTAGTTGACAAAATACAGCTACTCACCCTTCATTTGTCATGATCAACAAGTTAAACTGGTCCAACAAGCTCACAAATCTTGGATAATCCTCCTTTTTGGTTTTCCTTGTGTTCATTTGATTGTTAGCTGTAGCTTCTATGGAGGGTAGACGAGCTTCTCTCAAAATGGCATTGCTGTTATGATCAGGACTTGATAATGGCCACAGCCTGATGCTTCCATCTCCACCACCTGTGGCTATGAGATTTTCATTTTGGTTGACAGCAAGACTCCAGATGTTGCGACCTGTGGAAGATGGTACATGGCTCATTACAACAGGCTACAGTTGACAGAAGTGAATGTAAAAACATAAAAAATAGATTCTATGTTGTCAAGTGTCTGTTCTGTAGAAGATCACTGAAAACATCAAAATGTGGTATAAACAAAAAAGTGGCACAGAAAGCCCAGCTGAGTGTAACATTGCATGTACATAACATTGAATTTAAAAAATACTTGAGAAACTAAAAATTATTGGATAATCAATTTGGCTTGCTCTTAGCCAGTTAGGCTACATATCATTTGTCACTTCAAAATAAAAATAATTTGCCATGCAGTCTCTGTAAATACTTGCACTCATGCATTTTCAAAAAATATTTTTTTGAAAACAAAATTATTCAAGTTTAAATTAACCAATTAAAAACATTTTGGGACAAAGGATAAGTTTTTGGTTAATTGAAGAATTGGTTTGAGTCTTACATCACAGAACCTGTTTAAAAAAAAAGCGCATCAGTTTGAAAAAAAATTTACTCCATCAGTTGCTAAAGTATGAAAAACCATCCTCATTGTTGGTAACAACCTATTGACCCTTAAGAGTGACTGGCATCTAATTTCTCACCCCTGAATCAAACGTTAAGGTCAGGAGAAAAAAAAGTAAATGATCACCAACTGAAGAAGCTTCAGATTGTAACACAAATTCTCCTCTGTACATCTTAAGAAATGTATAGAGAACAGTACAGAGAATATACATGCTGATGTTAAGGTGTAAAGGACTAAGTAGCCTGATACCTGTATGACCTTTATAGGACTTCACAATGCTTCCATCATAGCTCCACACGTTGCATACCAAGTCCTCTCCAATACTAACAAAACACATCTCCAACAATTTTGCATTCCAGACTCGTGCAGAATGCCCATAAACGACAAGCAAAGGTTCCACACAGCCATTTGATTCAAGTGTTGATAAGTTTGTTATTTTCCATAGTCGTATGCTCCTGTCATCCGAAACAGAACTCAAAAGTGTTCCTTGTTTGTTAAAGTTTATGGCAAAAATAACTCCAGAGTGACCTGTAAGCCTCTGCAGAATCAGTGTTCGGTTATTTCCGTCTTTCTTTCCTTGCACTCTCCAAAGAAGGACTTGATTAAAAACTGTGCCAGATGCAATGATCAAATTTTCTAAATCAGATCCAAAGAAACATGCAGAATATCTTTACCAAAAGAAAGTTACGGGAAATAACTAAAGAGTGTCAAAATCAACCACAGAACTTTCTAAGGAAAGAACAACATAAAGTCCTTATATCCTTTGAGTTTTCCTGATTACTTCATTAAAGCATAAGAAGAAAATTAGTCTGTACATGAACTTACTTGGTAATTCCTAATCTTCTGCGTGTCAAAAGTTATTTTCAGATTGTTTAAAGTATCTTTCACAAACAAGGGAAGGTATTACTTTAGAGGAAACAAATTGGTAGAAAAGGCTTAATTACTTGAGTCCTGCTAAAACTATTTTATGGCCTTATAGGTCTGTATAAAGGATACAGTATACATGGCTCTTCACATTGGGAAACCAATTGTTTAACATCATTTTTCCAATCCCAGCACCATACAGCATTGTGTGCAGTTGCAATAGCCACTAGTTTTGGTACCTTGTCCTGGTACAGCCAGTGAGCAACCCAGATCAGATCAGGAAAAGCTACAATATCTGATGCAGCCTCAACTCTGAAGACAAAAGAATACCTAACATGTTCGTCAGTGGCATGAGAAATTGTAAAGAAAAACAAAGAGAGATCCTTCTTTTCTAAAGAATGGATCAGGCTCCCTGACCCTAAGGTTGCCTTGCACTTGACCCAACCTGGTAAAAGAAAACCAGATCAGCCAAAAGCCACCTGAGGCTGATTTGGTCAGTAGGGTAAAAAAAGCAAACAAGCAGAAAAAAAAGTTCTAAACCATTCTAGGAAGGCCAGCATGGGAAAAAACTGTGCCCTTAGTACTCAAGACCAAGTTTCCAGAACTAGCATGAATGTTCTTACCAAAATTCTCAGAATTTAATCATAGAGAAATGAAAACTATAAGAAGTAAATTGTGAATGTGTTCAGTATTTCACTCATACCTTACACTTGAATTGGAGGGATTCTCTTGTAATTTGATAACCCTTATGACCTTTTGTCCAAATATAAGCACCAAGTTACCAAAGGTCTTTTCACCTAAACAAGGGAAACCAATGTGATTGGACATATACAAGAGTTTGGAATTATTTATAATAGAGTTTTAGATCCACATTTGTTTCTGAATATGTGGAGTCACATGACCAGATTCCAGTGGTCACTTTCGCCATTTGCCATCCACATTTGATCTTTAGGCAAGGCAGTTTCAGGTAGTTGAAGTCTCTCTGCCCTTTTTTCTCCCTGTTTAAAAGTTATCATGTATGTCCTATAAATATAAGTGAGGTGAGGTCTTTTCTTTACAACAAATCCCTTTGAAATGCTAGAAAATCAATCTTTTCACCACATTTTGTGTTTGAAATGAAGGACCTTCATCATGTGTGTAATTCAAGATGGCAGCACATATGTTGATTTTTCTTTTCAGGTGAAAGTTGACATTGATCTAAAAACCTGAAAGTCTCAAAAATCTCACTTCTAACCACAAACTGCTGACCTTGGTTTGACATTTGCAGTGAACACAGGAAACATGGATCTCCAATGTTCTCACCCACAATTCTTTATTTTTTCACTTACAGTACAACATAGAACTTACAATTATAGAAACTCTACGAACAATACATTACTTGACTAAACCATTTCACCCCTAATTGTGATCAGCACTTAATTTCTCCTTACAGTAATACTGCTGAATCATTCAATAAGATCATGAGAATAAAGGAAAGGACCTTCAACCAAAGAAGTAATTATTTTTGAACAAATTCTCCATGTTAGCACTAAAGTAAAATTTTTCAAGCACTTTCCATGGTATGATGCTATTGTTTCGAACATACTGAGATTTTTTCTATCTGACCAACAAATTTCATAGATTCTCATTATTTTGAGAACATCCTGAATAAACTAGAGTCGAACCCTATAAATTAACAACCTAAATGAACAATGTACCTCTTATTCCATGTATCCTTGAGCCTTGCAATAGACATTTTTCAATTAATAAAACTCCCTTTGCTGCGGAATACACACCAAGCAATGGTCCATTTCCTAAAGAAAGTAAAATCAGCATTTTTTTCAAAACGACTGACAAATTACATACTCTTTAATTAAATATTTTGGAATACTTTTACTTTGATAGAGTTCTCTACTATTAATTAGTTCAATTTTTAATTTTCCAATTTCATTCCAGATCATCTCAAAGTAGTAGCCTTGAATGCTGTTGGGTAATTATGTGATTTTTTTCTTTTTTTATTGTGGCAAACAGAATGTGAGAATGTGCTCAGATGAATATCTGCTAATTCACAATTATTTTCCCAAGTGGAGGTGAATAGTGGTGGATATTTACTGAGCCTCATGGCACACAGGTGAATAATTGTTTTAGTACAATTTTATATCACACAGAAACCAAAAACTGTCAATATACCAAATATTGTCCGAAATTTAACTCTAAATGCCCTCACTTGTCTCACTGACTGCCTGAAGGTGAATGGTTCTTGCTAAACGCCTCCAAACCAGCAAATCAGCATGAGAGAAAAGTACTATTCACCTGTATGTATGGTATATACTAATTTACAATATTTTGCTTGTCATATTTATCCCTCCCCCTTAAGGGCATACAACAGGGTATCTACACTGAGGCCTTTAAAACTTTTTCTATGGTGTGTTGATTTGTGGAAGTAAATCAACTGTAAAAAATCAGACAGATCTGAAGCTTGGGCAAAATATTACTTATCTCCTCTAATAAATAAACAATGTCTGGGAATCCTTCGTCTTCAATATAAAATTTGCCCCAAGGAATTGTGAATTTTCCTCTGCATTTGCATTTAAGTTCTCTTTGTTGGTATTTTTCCCCTCTCCAGTTACCTAACTTTGGAGGATTTGATCTCTTTTCTGATGTGTTTAGTAGGCAGTCATGCCTCCCTCCAAAGCCGTGAGAGGATCTTTTCAAACTGGATCGCAGAAAACTCCGATAGAGACAATCATCGGGTGAAAATTAAGCTATCGTTTGATTAAGATCAACAGAAGTGGACAAATGAATTATTCCTTACCTGAAAGAACCAAGTCAGAACCAACAAACTCTAAACTCGTGACCGGGGAAGTCAAATACTTCTTTTCCCACGTCCAGTTGCTAGCTATTGCCATTATTCAAGTTAGACGTCAATTTAAAAGGAAAAAATATTCCACCCTTCTATCCATTTATAAATCGCATCGGAATGCAACTCGTCGTTGTTTTTGAATTGGACACCGAAAAAACTTCAAGTCCAGGAGAGCCGCCATTTTGGATTCTATTTCGTCCCCAGGTTGTGACTGTCTCCTTCGGCTCAGTTTAGGGCCCGGGGACCTGCGTGACATGCAACGCTACAACATGAGGTGTAATTTTTACTCCTTCGAAAAATTTAAACAAAAGATCCTAAAACACTTTCTCAGTGTGTGTTTAGAACTGTGGCTACTCTATCGTCCTTAAATCATATCATCACTTAGTTTCCCCTCCTGGCTACGGATAAAATTATTAATTCGTTAACTTTACCACTGATATTGAACCCGTAAGGAGCCGTCCAGGCCATTGCATAGAATGGGCCTTTTACGCAATTTGAACTTGTACCCATGGCTTTATTTTATTACAAAACTTTTCATTACCATGGTGCGTTATAAAAAAATTTACAATGTGCGTGCACTGAGCCCTTAGTTGACAAGAAATCCTTTTTCTGTTTTTTTATATTATCATCATTATTATCATCATTATTATCATCATTACCTCATTTTATTTTTCTTTAGAGGTAGAGACCGTAATCATTCAGTCAGAAAGTTAAAAACTTCTCTACAGTTTTTCTCTACTTTACACACATGTATTATATTCTAACCCCGTCCCTTGTGGCTCTCTCCTCATTTTCTCCATCAAAGTGATTGGTCATGAAGCTGTATAGTAAGCTGTAAGCCGCTTGCTCCCGAACTACCCGGTGGCCTGGGTACAACGATACAATGTCTGCATTCTGTCCAAAATACGATACGTGACGTATTTATACACCATGGCGGCTTTAGGAAGGTTGACTAGGCCGAGCAGCATAACTGTACTGGTAAGGTAAGGCTTAAATGAAAACAACCGAGAATAACAAAATGTTCAAGGAGTGAAAGCGTAATTTTTGACGCGCTTAGCTATGGTTCGCCTGATGTATTTTGCTTCGAATGATTCATATGAATTCTTGACGATACGATTATCAATATCGTGACAGAGTAATGGCAAATCAAGTGCCATGTAATGTGCGCGTTTTGACTCGCCTCTCAAATGCATTGCTTAACCACGCGTGATTGTTGCGTGACGCGCATTCCTTAAGTCACGCTTTGTGTGGTTTGAGTAAAGCACAGCCTTCTAATAGTCTTGTGCTTCTTAAGTTCTCTAGTCGTATCACATGATCTGTTTCGTCAGTAATCAACGGGCAAACAATTAATCTTCAAGTTGCTTCATTTCTAGTGGAGGTGTTAATTGTTGCTTTGACCTGCGCAAACAAAGCGCAGCTCTATAGATTTTTCGCGTTAGTAGCTCACATTTCCAATCATATGAGCCGAAGACAAACATGGATAAGCTTCTGTCAATCTTGGAAGATGGCTCCTTACACTTCACTTACACAACAGTCGCTGCAGCTGTAATTTTAACTTTGATCATCTCCAGGTTTTTCTCACGAAGGAGGTCGGTCGACTTAGACCAGAAATATGTTCTAATTACTGGCTGCGACTCTGGCTTCGGCCGTGAAACAGCCATTCGACTGGACAAGATGGGAGCGTGTGTGTTGGCGACTTGCCTGACTGAGGAAGGAGAGCAGAGTCTAAAGTCCGCGACCAGTGACAAACTAAAAACATTCCAGTTGGATGTGACAAGTTCAGAGCAGATCAAAGATCTTTACGAAGAGATTCAGAGACTCCTGCCCTCCGACCAAGGTAATATTGATTAAGACCTTATTGTATTACTCAGAGTGTAGGCATGCAATACGTGCAAACAAACCACACGTTCAAAGAGGTGAAAATGATCGGCAAAGCAGAGCTTACCGTTCCTTTTTAAAGTTCGTTTTGAACCAGTCTTTAGATTAGAATCTATAGAGTTCACGCTGTTAATAGAAATAAACTATATACAAACAACCTCTCCCTTGGTAAGCCTCTACAAAGAAAACATATTAATTCAAGGACGAAACATTGGTCGCTACGGAACAAAATATTTCTTTGAA